TGTGTGTGTGTGTGTGTGTGTGTGTGTGTGTATGTGTGTGTTGTGTGTGTGAGCGTGCGCGCGCACACAGAGAGAATGTTAGATTGGATATATAATATAAACAGACGGATAGACAGACAGACACACAGACAGACAAACAGACAAATAGACAGACAGACAGACAGACAGACAGACAGACATAGCCACAGAGTCGAAGACAGAGACAAAGAGAAAGAAGAAAAGTTTTGTTATTGTATCCCTTTTCTCTGTTTTGGTCTTCCTAGCTGCCTGTTGCCCTTCCCATCTTTTTGAGCTGTGCCTGTGCCGCTATCCTGGGGATCACAGTGTACCAGAAGCCACAGGAAAGTGGCATCGCTCTGTCTATCGTCGCCTGCGGCCTCCCTGCCTACGTACTGGGCTCAAAGTGGGACAAGCCGGACTGCATACAGAACATCTTAGGTGAGAGTAATTTCAATGGCTATTTTTGATGTTCATTTTGTTTATTTGTTTGTTGCCTTTTAAAACATTGTAGTGTTAGGATAGACACACAATAGACAGCTGGAAGAAACAAATGAGTCGACAGAGTTGTGGTTCATAAGACGCATGCTGCGTATCCCATGGACGGCTAGAAAAACAAATGAAGGAGTCCTGGTTGAAGCAAACTGCATACGACAGCTTATGACGAATGTACGAAAGCGACAGGCAAATTTCATAACACACACAATGCGGAAAGAAGCATTGGGGAATATTGTAACAACAGGCAAGTTTGATGGAAAGAGAGGCAAAGGCAGACAGAGGGAAAAGACACTGGACAAGTTAACAACGAGGCTGGGAACAGCAAGAACAACAGACACCATTGCTGCAACACAGGACAGAGGGAAGTGGAGGTCAATGATCACGCACGCCAGTCGGCAAGGCACCGGATGATGGTGACGATGACTGTTAGGATAAGATTAGGGGAGATACAATACAAATGTAACTTAAACTGAACCTAGCTAAGCTAAGTCAAGCCAAGGTAAGCTTAGATAAGTAAAACTAAGCCGAGCTAAGCTATGTTAAGATGAGATACAACTAGCTTCTTCGATGTATATATATATA